CTCAAGATATACCGTAGATCAACTACGGTATATCTTGAGAGCAATCATTGTAGTGGTCATCCTTATGACCTCTTGAAGTGCGACACTTACAAAGGCAAACCTACTGCCCCCTGATTGGTTGCGTGAAACAAAAAACAAAAAATTTAGGTTTGGTTGTAAAGGTATCGGAGATGAGATTGGGATTTCATCACCGAAACTCCTAGTTTAGCTCGACCGTGACTTTGGCGTAAATTGCGGCGTGGTGTGTATTTCATGTGCACGACACACTTCATCCGACGCCGACGGGTTATGGTAAGGGTTTGCCTACTGAACCACACCTTCGAGGGGGTGAGCTGCTTCGTCACCGGATGTGTCGCGACGGCGGTGCCGCAGAGCTGGAGCGAGATACGAGAGATGCGTGGCCTGCGTTATGTGCTGCGATTATAAAGATGTATTAAGTGGACCGCGCCTTCGGCCCAATCTGCCACGGTATCCTGCGGCAGGGTCAACCGTGATGTTTCAGGGATTTCGCCCCCACCACCACCGCCATGCATTTTAGGAGGCTCCCCCAGTGCGACCACCTCCTCCCTACCCCAACCACCACCCACCCACCCTCGCCAGATTCATTAGTACAATGAAACAGCAAAAACGGCAAATTTCTTCTCCTTCCACCTATCCTACGCCCGCCAATTCAATCCATCCAAACTCCTCGAATACTCATTATCTAAATACCAGGTTTGCTCCGCCCGCTATCGCGCGCATCACAGGGTAGGGAGGAACCACGGAATAGCAGCATGACGTACTCCATTAACCACCTCACTATTGAATGTGTTATACCTCCTTATACCCCTTCTCTCCGGCGCATGGCAGCACCATGTTCTCCCTCCCTTTCTCCTCTCCCCCACTTCCCTCCCTCTCTTCCCCCCTCTTCTGCTTTCCCCCCTCTACCGCCCGCCGACTCCGGCTGCCCCGGCAGCACCATGTAGAATGAGGCTGAGTGTGCTCGTTCGGTGTTTTTGTAGCCATTGTGGGTGTTATCACAATCACCACATCAGGTTAGAATAATACGTCAACATGAATATAGACCTTACTCTTAAAAACGGTCGTTCTCTCTCAGTCTCTCCTCCCCCACCTCCCCCTCCTTATACCCTCCTCTCCGGCGCATGACAGCGCCATGTTCTCCCTCCCTTTCTCCTCTCCCCCTTCCCTCCCTCTTCTCTCTCCCCTCCCTTCCAGCCTCCCCTTTCTTGCCCCCTTCCCTCTACCCCCCTCCACCCTCCCCCCCCCGCTCATCCGGCTGCCACGGCAGCACCATGTAGAATGAGTGTGCTCGATCGGTGTTTATATAGCCGCTGTGGGTGTTATCATGATCATGACATCAACATCACGAAGTGTTGCCCTTCGTACTCCCTGGTTTTGTGAGCGGTTGGTCCGGACGGACAGAACGACACACGCACACACACCGACAAACCGACACACCAAAGTTCTGGTTTATATAATGAAGTGATTATATGTAGATATCACTTCATTATATAAACCAGAACTTTGGTGTGTCGGTTTGTCGGTGTGTGTGTGGCGTGCGTGTGTGTCGTTCTGTCCGTCCGGACCGACCGCTCACAAAACCAGGGAGTACGAAGGGCAACACTTCGTGATGTTGATGTCATGATCATGATAAACCCACAGCGGCTATATAAACACCGATCGAGCACACTCAGTCTCATTCTACATGGTGCTGCCGTGGCAGCCGGATGGAGGGAGGGGTGGAGAGGGGTAAGGAGAAGGGGGCAAGGAAAGGGAAGGCTGGAAGGGGGAGGAGGAGAAAAAAAGAGGGAAGGAGCCGAACGGGACAGGGGGTATAGGACGCAGGTAAAAACACATTCAAATGGTTGAGGTGGCTTTAATGGAGTTACGTCATGTATGCTCATGTGCCGGTGGTTCCATCCCCTGGACCTGTATGCGGGGGGCGATAGCGGACGGAGGCCAGACCTGGTAAATAATACAATGCGCCTTGCGCATGTGCCCCACCCAAGTCCGACTATTAGCTAATCGCACTCAACCCTGAATGAGATGCCCTCTTCGCCATAAATAAATAAATATGCGACCACATCGTTCGAATAGTGCGATCACAGGGTTAACCCTGTCTTGCGGTCCTCATCCTTCATTGCCCCAATCCTCGCCTTCTCATTCAAGAACAGCTGCGCCAAGAAGAGATGCCATGGGTTGGAAAACCTCTGCCCTTACTTTCCCCTTACCTGCGCACCTCACTCCTTACTCGAGTAACCACTAGGTTATCATTGTTTAAGCCAGTTTAGCTCCGCCCGCTACCGCGCGCATGACACGGAAGCTTCTGACAAAACTGACAATCGGTGAAGCTTTGGGTTTCACCGCTTAACTATAGCTGCTTCGTTAAATGCATTACTGTCGCACAGTAAAGTGATGTTGGTTAAGAGCAACTGCATCCATGCAAACTGAAACCAGAATCGAGAGAATTTAGCGAGGTCAAAATAATTTTTGGGTG